TAACATCATGACTAGCCATCATTGCTGCTGGGACACAATATACCGCATGTAGCTTAAACTCTGCTGACCTCTGTCACTGGAATCTGTTTCAGACTGAGTAGGGGGATATCCATGTTTTTGTTATAGTGTGTGTTTGTATGTCATAAATCATTTATTGAATGCTTAATTGCTTATGAACGGTAAATGGAGGTTTAAGTTAAGTGTTTACAAATTGATAAATAAAAAATAATTGCATATTCATAGATTCTGGATGTATTTAAAAATGTCTACAGGAGATCTTGAGTTAAAGAAGTAGCTTATTTCACTGCTGGAAAGATGGTCTTTTCATAAACTAGGCTGAAGTAGAAAGATGCAAATACTGGTGCCATATGACCAGAGAGAACAGAAAAAAGGGCTGTGGCATTCACTTTTGCTAAAAAGGTAGAAAACCTACAACTACCAGAATGCACTATGACACACTGGACTAATAAGCGCTCCTGCTGGTGGGTGACGTACCGTTATTTGCTCGTATAGTTAAATGGTGAGCTAAAATTTGTCTCTGAAAACAATTTAGGTGAGAAATAGGCAACACAGTGACAGAATCTGGGTGCATATTGATCAGCACTGCTTAGTTTAACTGTTTGATCTAAGTTTGCTCTGAGTGTGGAAGAGAGAGAGGGGCATCTCTCGCTCTTGATCCGCTTCTTTACAGTTTATCTGACTGAAAATGAGGTACAAACTGTAGTTCGAGAAACAGCCCTCAAGCCAGCAAAAATCCGATGTCATGTTTCGCATCATCCTGGGGAGCAAATGAGCGGGCAGATCTGGGCGCTGACAAGATGGAGGGAAGATTTACCCACATACTACCCACATTGTTATGATAGAAAGCTGGTTGAAAATCTGCAAAGTATCCCTTTAACAAACAAATGTGGTCATTACACATATTCTCCAGGTGAATTCCAGATTTCATTGCAGGGGGCAGAAAAAGATCCTGAAACTCTCCAAGAGAAAAAAGAAACAACATTAATGTAGCACTGCAACTAATAATTATTTTTGATTGTTGATTAATCTGCCTGTCGTTTTCTCATTTAATCAAGTAATCATTTGGTGAATAAATGTGAGAAAATGGTGAAAACAAAATGGCAGCCACACTTTGCTGAAGCACAAGATGAGCAAATATCTTTTGCACATTGGTCCCTATCTGGTTACGTTGTATGTTTGTGTTGTTTAAAGCAGTAGTACCCTGCCTCCAATCCAAATTTCTCCCAAGGGAGACAAATAAATGGACTTTGACTTTGACTTTGAAGATGATATTATTGAATTAAACTTGGGAAAGCTACTTTGCTTGGAAAATTACTTAATTATCTGATTAATTTCTGTCTTTTGTTTTAGTCCTCATTAGTAACGTTTTCCTTCTATTGTAGTATGCATTTATTTGGGTTTAAAATGAGAGTGCTCATGTTTTTCTCACAAACCCCTGATTTGCTCACAGATAGGCTACAGCAGGTGCACAGGAACAAGTTTATTGTGAGAGCCAAGACTTTGCTTTCTTTTGGCACGTACTGTAGTCTCTGCCGTCATGCAAGTCGGTTGTAATCGTAAAACAACAACACTTAGTGTATTTCATTGCTTAATCGTGAAATCACAAGACTGACTCAATATTCCACCGCTAATGCTGTAGCATGCACGCGCGCCAGTGATGACTCAGTGCACTGCTCTGACAACACAACCTGCCCAGATGGCTGTCACAGGAAAGGTTCACAATAGAGCCGAGAGGGGAAGTTGTGATTAACAGAGAGGGTCGGAGGCTGGGAGAAACAGAGTGTGGAGCTTGGAAAAATGTGACACTGACTCCCTATGGATTTACAGTATTATTAAAAGATTAAAAATAATGGGATAATTTCCTAGAGAGATGATAGAATGTGGCTTTGTGCCAAACCTGAAAAGTTTATCGTTTCTTATTCTATGACCATTTATAAGTGGGCTAACGAAGCTTTGAACCACTCCTGTCTGCTGTTATTGCATCACATTATCTGTAAAATTAGACTTATTATGTTTGAGGAAAGGTATAAGATCAAGAAGTTGTTTTTGAAACTCTGCTTGTAGCGGGATGTGAGTGAAGGACATTTCAGGAATAAACATGCTGACGGCAAAAGTGACTCAAGGGAAAAAGGCACAGGAAAAATGGGGCGATAAAGAAAAGCCTGGAGGAGAATTGGGGTTATTTTGGGCTCTGCAGGCTTCCTGCAGGTGATGGAAATGAAAGAAAGATTTTCTGGAACAATTGCTCAGCAGCAAGTGGAGTGAAGAAGGAGAGGGATGGAGGAGGATGTGGAGGAGGAGGGGGGGAGGTCGGTGGAGCAAAGGGAGAACGCGGAGAATCAATGTAAACATCTCAAAAGGGACAAGGTCACCTCGAGATAAGTACAATGTTGTGCTTGGATGCTTAAAGGTTGTTTATGTAAGTATCACAGCCCATGTAAATAGACGATAAAACTGCCATCATAACTGATTAATTGCAAGTGTGGGAGTTGTCTGACAGTATAATGACTACGCTACAGACACACCCCCTCACCCTGCCATCAACCTATAAAGGACCAGGAGCACAGAGAGGTGGCAGACTTGGACACCCAACAATCAAGAGACCACGAATGGTTCACTCAAAAAGCCACAGCGGGTTTTGGAATTATCTTGGTGGTAAGTTTCATCCTGCATTCACGTTTATGATATTTTATACAGATCTCTACATCATAGTTGTCTAAACAATTATTTGTCTGTATCATTACGACTAATATCGATTTGTATAGACCATTTGACAGGATGTTTTCCTCAGTGTCACTCATGGTTTTTCTGCCACAGGCAACTGCGGTATGGAGATAGCTGTTTTGCTGCTGCTGACTGTGCCTTTGAGTGCTGCCACACCACTAAGACCAACTCACAGGTCAGTGAAAAACATCAGTAAATATACAGCTAATGATGTCGGGGAAAATACTTACAGTAACCATAAAAATGTGTCACCCACTGCCTGCTAATCTATAAATGGAATATCAACACTGCCTCAAAAAAAAAAGAGGAATTTAGGCAGAAAGAAGGGAAAAACTGGACTATATGTTAATTTATCTGTGTAATACAGTATTGACAATCAGAGTTGTTTGGTTCACGTGATGCCTATATTAATAAATACCTTTTTCTGATGGACCAACAGGTCAGACAACGTCCTCCCAGGGGACGCCATCCAGGTTTCAGAGGTGAAAACACCAGAGGACACACAGGAGCAGCATGCTAAAGCACTGAAGATCGTCCCATTTCATTCAGAAGACAAACACCTAGACCTGGAGGCTCTGAAAAACAGGTGCGAAAGAGCATATATATATTCAGAAATCAGGAATATTTTCCCCTGGGGGACAACTGTGATACGTTACAGTCAATCTGATGTATTGCATAGAGATATATAGGAGCAGAAATGAAAAACAATGAATAAAACTAGAATGTTACAGTTTAGAAATACAAAATATAATACAATATAGCATGAAGAAAGGCATGTATTTATATCGCTTAGACAACCTCTGTAGTGAGTTAATGATGCAGGATTACTGCAGCATAAATAGTATGGTGTTTATTTCAGTTCTACTAATTATGGCTGTTAGCAAAACCCAAATTTTACGTTTATTATTTAAGTGAAAACTGAATAACATTCTGTAAATATATGTGCTTAACTTCAATTTTGTCCCCCCCTTCTACAGCATGCCACTGAAGTTACGTCTACGGCGTGCACCTCAGCGTGGATGCCAGCTCGGGACATGCCAGGTTCACAACCTGGCCAGCGACTTATACCACATCAGCAAAACAAAAGACAAAGAGGAGTCAAAAAAGGCCAATGACCCGATGGGATTTGGTAGATAGGGGCCAAGAGGGATGGCGGCACTTAAGGACTAAGGAGGTGGAAAGTTCTCAACCCAGCCTCCATCTATTTACAACCAAATATTTCTGTATGATCTGACTGACTGGTACTTGTTATTGATTTATGCTCATTAAGCACATTGAATGTGGAAGTGTTAATACTATGTTACTTTTTAAAATATAAATTCTTCTATATTTAAATGCATTGTACAATAAATATTTAATATAAAGAAGTGTGTGGCGTTCTAGTTTATGCATATTTGGGTTAACCCGCAAGGGCCATTAGAAATGGACTCCTACAGGTTGAATGCTGCTTACACAAGCTCTTTCAATGGATTATTAGATTTAGCTTTTTAGGAAACGGCAGAGGGGCTTTGAAACATAATTCCTAGACTCAGAAACTGGCTTATATGCAGGTGCTCAGATTTTCCATTACTCCCCCCATTAAATAAAAACAGAAAAGTTGCAGTTGACTTTTGTTTTGGCAAAATTTAGAACATTTACACCATGAACTGATGCAGAAAACACACACATTGGTGCATGAAAATTCATCAGATGAAGGAAAGTAAGTCTTCAATGTTCAAGATTCCCCCCTCCCAAGTTTAAATGAAACCTTTGCTCTTGTTTATAAGGATTACATATTAAATGAAGTATATTTCTCTCACATGCTGATTAAAATGTGATGTTGGAAATGTTTCGGTGTGTAAAACAATCTGGCCTTTATCACTGTAGATGGTGTGGGGACTAATTGAGGCATCTGACCCACTTGCCATGGTGTAAATCCAGACCTGACTGTGTGATATTTTTAGGCAACCATGACAGTAACAAAATGGTCAGTGCACATTGCACAAGCTTCTGTCTTCAGTTGTCATGTCTGCTACAGCTGTGTTGAAATATGTGTCATCAATGACCAGGGGTATTTTCCTCCTAACTTCACCACATCAGATATTTCTCACCAGGAGATGGGCATCTAAATCTATGTTGTAAGGGGATCATAATCAGCATTGGCTCAGATCACACCCCAGGTATGAAATATCTGTGGTTTTGGGTGGCCCCTCCTATTTTCAGAGTTTGGAGGCCTCCTGTAAAAAACCACACCCTCACCTGTGTGGTGTCTCTGCTCTACACCTTGTTTCCTCTCTGGCTGGCTGGCTGCGGAGGAAAGTTTGGAAATGGCCTTTTCATTGATTAACGCTCATTCAAAAATGCAGCAATCCAGGAAATAAGCATTGTCACTGGAAAATGGTCAGGAAGAAATCCTGAAGTCGTTTCCCCTACTATCTCTTACTGAGTGGAAGAGAAAGGAAAAAAAGAACATGAGGGACACAGGAGGAGAAGGAGGCGGCGGAGACAAAATCTGTAAATCTGAGAAGGATCAGGTGGGTAGGCTTTTTATTTAAAAGTCTCCTGTTGTGATATCATTGTGGTGCTTTGTCAGACAATTTAATAAAAGGAAATTTACAAAGTGGAAGCGGTGAGGAAAGTTGCGGCTGGCAGTTATCCCGTGAGGTTCTGAGTCACCATGACGAGCGATGGTCAATCTGCTTTGGGCAGCACGTATCTAATAGTCCTTTGGGGGTTTAATACTCACTGTTAAAGAGTCTTGAATGACCGAAGCCACTATAGGGTTGCAACTGTGCGTGAACCGCCCCGCATTTGTCCTAGCTAAACCGAGCTACGGTCTGCTCGTATCTGTTGACACTGTGTGCTCGTCAAACCGGCGGAAGTTAAGCTATCTTAAAAAGGCACTTTCGACCGTTTAACAACGTAACGTTACGCTTAATGGCTAACATTCCGGTCATTGTTAATTACTTAAGAAAGGCTTCGGTGACTCAATTTCTAACTTAGTCGTTGCTTAAACGTTTACTTGCGTTATCTCTGACGGTAAAAACAAAGGCAAGAGCACACCCATTGTATGTTCAGTAACAGTTCCCTAGCGTTTCATAAGCTAACGTTAACTATATTTAACGTTAAGCTAACCTAGTTAACTTTGTACGGTAAGGTTTATGCTTTAAGTTGAAGTTTTAACGTAAACAGACATGGCCACCCTTAATATTAACACCGGCATCCAAAAGATACAAACAAAATACGATATAATATAAGTAAAACATGTCTTAACTGCAAATACTTTAACTCGACAAGCACAGGTGTTGCTAATAATATTAATCACGGCTGCATTCCATTTAGGTGTGCCAGTCCCAGGGCTCTGGTGTTGTGCCGCTGGTTTACTGACGGCGCTCCCTGGCACAGCTAAATGGAACGCAGCCATCGTGTTAGCCGTTGATGTGCTTTTCCTGATTATACTCAGTGGCGTCCCCAAGGAGGACGTGCGGTGGGGCATGATACAATCACGGCCCCCTCTCCAGTGGCCCACCCTGGTGAAAATGATGAGAGGCTGATATCACTGCTTTAATTAAGAGGATTATTATGACGCACTTGAGGCATTCATAGCTTGACGGTAAGGAGGCTAACTAATGCGCTAAAGTTAGGCTAAATTTGGACAAGGGAGCAACTGGCATTTTCAAAGGGGCCCCTTGAACTCTCACCTCAAGATATTTGAATAAAAATGGGTTCTGTTGGTCTCCGGATACCCACGAGTCTCCACTAAACTTGATTAGTTTTGTTTCCAGTAAATGTTTTGTTCCTTACAGTCAGTGAACTTCAAACTAAAGCTGTAAATTTGTCTTTTTAAGGAAAAGGACAAGCCTATTTAAAGAACAATGAATCACCTGGCATGCATAGATATGAGGGATGAAATTGAATTGATCAAACAAAGATCAAACAAAGATGCATTTGAGCTATGGGATGGTGAACATGTTTCTGAGCTTTAATTTAGGGAACAAGCACAGTTGGTATTTTTTCTTTAGAGGCCGTTTACACGTACACGGTGATTTTGATAAACGGAGACATCTTCCTTCGTTTGTGCCCTTCGTTTACACGCAAACGGAGATTTCTCCTCTGAAAACGAGTCTTTCTAAAAACTCCGGCCAGAGTGGAGATTTTGGAAAACTCCGGTTGCGCGTTTGCATGTAAACTGAGATAAACGCAGATAAACGGAATTATAGGCAGCCCACGTCACAGTATGCGCCGGAACTTGCGCCTGTGTAAAAAGTGCGACCTATGTTGCTATGGTGACAATGGATACATGGAAGGCTTGAGCTTCTCCTTACACTGCTACCTACAGGTTTGGCATGCTCTTGTGTATATATACACGGGTAAGTGTAAACGAAGATCTTTTTGAAAACGGAGACGGTGAAATGTCCGTTTATGAAAATAGCCGGCAACGTGTAAACGGCCTCTTATAAGCAATGTTTTTATGTGTATTCAAAATCATTATTAATTGATTAATTGATTGTTAATGTTACCAATATAGGATTAAGGAGAGTGCTTATAATTTGTAACCCTAACTGATATATCTTCCTGAGACCTGAACTTTTGTTTAGTATTCATTTTTAATTTCTCCTAGCTATTTGGGATTAGTAGGACCTGATAAGTATGAAAAAATAACATTGTCAACAATAATAAAGCCCCATTGTCCTCATATGAGATAATAATTAAGTCTCAATGTCCTTGAACGTGACAATAATTAAGTCTCACTGTCCTCGAACGCGACAATAATAAAGTCCCAGTGTCCTCAAACGAGACAATAATTAAGTCTCACTGTCCTTCAACGAGCTGATGAGAAATTCCCAGTGTCTTACAATGAGTACTTCCTAATTAACAGTGTCTTAGCTTGTTACTGTTGCTAAAATTGGTAAAAGTTGTTGCCATATCAAACTACAAACATTATTAATTATAAATAAACGTAAAAGATTTAACCATTAAATGTGATCAGGTTTTGGACCTTGCCGTCTTTGTGTCAGGATCGGCTGCAGACTGACTTGGCAGAGATGGCTGCCATCTTGCTTTTACATGGATTAGTGTATTGTGCTCTTACTGCCACTAGATGAGACAAAAAAGGACGAGGACAACAGGTGTAAGTTAAGCAGAATGGAGTTTAAAGTCCAGTAAATCCAAAATGTAATGTCCTCATATGAGGACACAGGGTCTCAGGAGGATATAATGTATTAAAACAAGATTGTTGTGGACCTCATGTTACCTGTACTGGTATTAGTCTATGCACATCAGATAATTACTAATATTAGCTGTAAAATAAGAAACCAAATCTGTATGTGATTCATTAACTCTCTATATTGACTTAGTTTTTAGCCAGCCTTTGTACTTCAACTTCATAAATAGATTCCTGACATTCAGTTACAGCGTTTTTGGTGTGCCACCTTAAGATTTTCAGTGGTCCCATCTGGCCCCTATGAAAAAATTCTGGGGGCACCACTGATTTTACCAGTCAAAATGTCCTGTGAAACACATGTATTCCCATTATCATATTTCTGTTGAGATGACAGTGGATTAGATATTAATATTTTGAATATATATTTTATAGTGTATCTTTAAATTCAAAGTTGTAAAGAGAGAACAGAGTCCCTTGAGGCTCCTTTGTTTGACAAGTAGGTTTGTATTTGTACTGCAAAATGTACTGTATGCACTAATGATACCTGCACAGGAGTAGCCTATGTGCCCACCACACACATGCACGCAAACTCGAGCTGAATCTACAGCACCGTGTCAGAAGTCACAGCCAGGTGTTCAGGCACTGCATATCTCACTAGCGTAACACCTCCTCCAAGCCAAAGTCAGTGTTTCTCATTTAACAGTTTCCTACACCATGAAGCAACATGAATTCCAAGCGCAAAAGGGTAGGGATGGAGTTAAACCTTTTAAACAGCGTGTCCGAAATTTCAGTGTGTTAACCTGTTGAAAATGTTTTCAGAGTTGGATCCCCAAAATCATCAAGAAAAGAGTGTGCACCACCTTCGTAGAAGATTCTTTCAGGTACTGTGAACTCTGTGGAGCACATTCCTCCGTGATAGTCACTCTCTGTTTACTGTTGTGATGCATCAAAGGATGATCGTGTTATCACATGTATTATCCTCTCACCTCTCTCTCAGTAATGGCGCGCTGTGTCAGTGTGGGGGTGCGAGAGATGCCCATGGCTCTGTGGCTCTCGGTGACTATTTCAGCACAGCGATTGTCAACCACTGGGACAGCGGCCAGCACTCCTCTGAATACCCGACTGATGCTTTCGGAGAATTGCAGTTCGCAGGAGCCAGCAAGAGGCATAGCTATGTGGGTGGCCTTTCTGTTTGCCTGATAAATGTTCTCTGAATGGCTAATTAAATGCTTCATCTCTTTTCTTTAACCGATTGCTACACCTGAACAAGCAAACATAATATACTGACAGTGAAGTTACATATCTGTACTGTGAAGCTCCTCTGCTTTATCGTAACTTAAGCATGTGTTTTGATACTAAAATGATCACAATTTATCATTTTTAAGTCAAAGTTTGTTGTAAAATGTGATCAAATATCCATTTTGTCTCTCATGGGGACCCTCAGTTCCTGCGTCTGTCATGGGACACCCCCGCGTCTATGGTCTACACCCTGATGACAGCCCACTGGGGTCTTTCTTCCCCCAACCTGGTGGTTTCTATAGTGGGCGGAGAAGGCAGGACAAAGGTGAAGACTTGGGTGCGGGAGGTACTCAGGCAGGGACTGGTGAAAGCCTCACAAAGCACAGGTAAACATAATGTAACTCTGAAGTAGCTAAACCACCACTTCAGACATGGCTACGAATGTGGGTCATAGGTTACATGCCAGTTGTGAAATCCATATACGCTTTTTACATTGTAACTGTTAGCTTTAAGTTGTGAATCACTTTGTTTGTGGTCAGCATGTGATGTCATGACTTTACAGACTGTTCCCCTTGACCTAAAATACATGCTTTGACTGGCATCTACAGAGCTTAAAAAGTCTTAAGAAACATGGGCGCAAATGCTTTGGTCTCTTTGAAGCTGTGTTTGCTGCCTCATACCAGTTTCTTTCTCTTTCTCTGATGTCAAATGAATTCCAGACACCTTTTAGAGCTGAAAAAAGCTGCTACTATAACTGGTTTGTTAGCCTCATATGAGCACATGCATTTCAGTTTTGCGTGTTTTTGCTCATGTAAAAATTTTCATGTAAAGTCCAAAGTTGCAGGCGTTTCCAAGTGACTAATAATGATAAATGTTGAATCAACACTTTCTTGGAAGATGCAGAACCTCGTGGTGGACTTTGCGGGAAAAACACAGCTGTTACAAACTCTAGTACCATTGCATGTTATGGCTCTCGGGGGTCCGATCCTAATTCGGTACTACAATGGCCATTTCCTCACGACTACCGTGCCAAGTGCAGGTGGCAGAGGATTATAGCGATCTCCTGTCATTTGAGGTCATTTAAACAAGCTGTACTCTCAAAGGCTACGGACCAAAGCAAAGGTAATTAGACTGGTGTAAAAACATGGAGGTGTGTTGTTGATACACGCTGTGGAAGGACAGTGCGTAATATTGCAGACTATTTGTAAATATTATGTAAAATGACATGCTTTCAGAAATTAAAATATAGATGTGTGAAATCATATTAACCTAATATGAAATAAAGAATATGTCAGCCATTCTACACACAGCTAGTACAGCGGTAATTTAACCATTTTCCAGGTGTTGAAGTTCAGCTTTGAACTGCGAAACTCTGCCATGACATTCCTCTTTGTCTCAAGAAACTACAAAAACCACGCAGTTTATCTTTTCGTCTCACATTCTGTGTTTGATTGTTGCACCCAGGTGCGTGGATCCTGACAGCAGGCTTGCGTGAAGGCGTCGGCAGGTGTGTTGGAGAGGCGGTGAGAGATCACGCCACTGCAGCCTCATCGGTGTCCCTCAACAAGGTGGTGGCGCTGGGCATTGCTCCCTGGGGCCTGGTGCACAACCGACAGCAGCTGATCAACCCTCAGGTTGTCACGTACTATAGTTACAAATATAACTGATTATTCCAAATAAAAACACAAACATACAGGGCCCTATCTAACACTCGCGGCGTACAGTGCAGTGCAACTATCATTGCTAGTTTCAGACCAATGCAAATGGAAAATGTACTTGCACCCATCTGTGTCCCCATGGGCATGTAGGCCTTAAAATTGGGAGTAAGAGATAGAGATTGAGCCATTGATTCAACAAAAACCTGCCGTTTAACCTGGATTCTTCCTCTTCCAGGGCAGCTTTCCTGCTAAGTACTACGTCCAGAACACGTCCCGGGACTCCTGCTGCCTGGACAACAACTACCAGGCCTTCCTCCTGGTGGATGATGGAAGTGTCGGACGCAGAGGAGGAGAGACGGGGTTCAGGGCCAAACTGGAGGACTACATCTCCCACCAGCGTACAGGCATCTGGGGTGAGAGATGGGATAATAAAATGAATTGTCTCGCATTGTATGTAGAATCGTAGAGGTGTAATTGCTCTCCGTGGACTCACTGAAAAATATGACAGGAAGTAGGCCTAAAAATTATTGTCTTGGTTGTTTTGTTGTTCCTTGGAATTTCTGGTAAAACTGGATATGCGAAACCAGTCATCATGCAGATAGAAGAATAACGCATCACTTTCGTTTGCTGCTATTGTCTCTGGTTGCCCATACTAATATTCCAAGGAATGTATCTATTTGTGTGAACTGTATGTAAAGAAAACTAAAGATGTCTCAACTGTACAATGCTCCCACAACTGTAAAATTGCTGTTTGGCCCTCTTGTGGTGATTTTTGGTTAGTGCATGTGACGATAAGATGAACCTCAGGTACGCCCTGGACGAGAGCCGCTGCATGCCACTGCAGGAATTTCAAACACGGCTCCTCAACATGTAAAATCAAGCAGAGATTTGTCAAAAATTTAGCAGGGTGCTCTGTCTGTGTCTTTGCCATCTGGAAGCTTTTGTGTCACAAGAAAAATATGCAGTTTGATTGTTGTCAGTGTATAAACATAATCAAAATACCTGCATTAAAGAGAAGTTGGTATAAGCAAAGATTTTACCAATGCACACTTGCGAATTAACTGTAAAAATGTTTAACTTGTTTTTTAGGCAGCGGCAGCATTGACATCCCTGTCCTTTGTATGCTGGTGTCTGGGGAAGCCAGCATGCTCGAGGTTTGTTGATTTCCACAAAAAAATAATTAAGTTAGTTTTTATATTATGCCTTTGATTTCCATAAAGAAATGCTTCGCTCTCTTTCCCTAATTTCTGTCAGAGAGTGGATCTGTCCCTGAAAAACTCCATGCCCTGGCTGGTGCTGGCTGGCTCAGGAGGCCTTGCCGACTTTTTGAGCGACGTCTTGGCGAGTCTGTCGTCAGCCACGGTCGTCCAGTCCTCTGGTGAGGGAGAGGGCGAGGCAGGCCCCAGCGTGGATCTGAAGGACAGAGTGGCAGATCGGATTAAGAAGCACTTCCCGTCTGAAGCGGACTCGGACAAACTAGTTGAACGGGTGAGTGGTGTGTGTGTCGTCATTGTGTGGCTTTTAACACGCTGAACAGGAAGAAGCTGTTTGTTCAACAGCTGCCAGCTTCGATTGCCATGCAATAGAACATTGATATTCATAGTCTCAGAGGCTTTCATATGTACTTTGTGGCATCTTGACCTTTCTTTGAATGCTCTAAGGTCAAGATTCCAACTTTACTCACGCAGGATATTTTGCAGTATCGTAATGGGCAGGTTGCCAACAAACTTGCTGTGTGTATTTCTGCCATCCCAAGTGGATGAAGCCTTTATTTCTTCTACCCTCAGGGCAAGCTCACATGTTAAGCCTTGCTGCTGCTGCTGAGGCTCTGAGAACAGCAGGATTTATCAGTATGCCGCTCATGTCACCCAACACTGTAATTGTTGCATGTAATGTAAACATTTATTGAGCCGCCACTGGGCCTGTAAACTTCAAGCTACTCCTTGTCCCAGCACATTCCTGAGAGCGCTGGCTGTTATTTAGCTGTTCCTGTTGCTGTTTACAATTACCTCACTCACAAGTTGTTGTTTGGAGGTCAGTTTCAGTTTTCCCATGGCGTAACAGGACTATTTTTGTAGCACAACAGACTGTGTGTAGCCAATTACAATTACATTTTAAAAAAAATGCCTTTATACTGATCCACATGATCTCCTAGGGACATATGTTGTCAAACAGCCTCCCCTAAACCACCCTTACAGAAACTACAGGGTTACAGAACTTCCAGCAGCAAGCCAGCATCAATGACTTATTGACCACATGCAATGGCGTATTGTGTTCGACATAGAGGACGCTCTGTACAAACGTAAACTGCTCAAACTAAGATAGATATTTAATATTGTCATCCAGACGTTAAAAAATGTAAAGGTTACATTGTGTTTAGTATCATATATACCCTTCTCTCATCCCTAGAAAACAGTAAATGTCATCATTTGATTGTAAAGCATTGTAAAACCAAGCAGATTTTATAACAGTATTGTGAAAAACAAGAAGATCTTTTACGAAGAAAAAAGAAATGAAAGAAGAAGTGAAAGAAATGCCACCAAAGCAGCTTGGGGTCAAGTTCTATTTTTAAGGTACACTATGCAGGATTTTGTAAACACACTGGTAAATCAAATTATAAGGAAAAGCCAACCCCCGATTCACGCTCGTTTGGCATTTCGCTTCACTATAACTGCATTTTTTTGCAGCGCTGTGTCTCTTGGATGCCCGCTGCTTACAGTCTGGCACCTGGTTGCTACCGCTTTATAAAGCCCTGACCTCACCTGAGCGCTGTGGGGGTACATGCCCATAGATGTGCCGAGCATAGACAGTAAGAAACCACAGGCAGAGGGCAGAATCAGGGCAGAAAAATACACTGCCACACACTGAGTGGGTCATAAGTAGTCATTGGCAACAGGATAATACACAAATATTCAGCTGAACAAAAGCAGCACATGCAGATCAAATGCAAGTGATAAAAATAAACATGAAGAACATAAAATGGAAGTAGGGTTTTCCTCCATGGTTACGAAAAGTTCCTGTTTCCTCTCGGGAGAGAGAGAGAGAGAGAGGGAAGTTCGTCCCGAAGCTTGGTGCTGCACTTATACCCTACATTTTAATGAAGGCGACTACAAACAGCTGCACTCTGCGATGGAGTTGGAGTCTCGGGGGTCCAGTTTGTGTGATGGAACATCATCAACACTGCATGCTGCCTTGAAAGAGTGTGGCGGGTTATTGACTCTTCTATCAGTGTCCTAATGATTATTAAATTTTTAATGTAATCAGTGGTGTGAATTGCTCTCTGTTGAACTAGGTGTGGCTGGATAAACACTTGTAATCTTATTCTTTTCTAGTCATGGGTCGTGTTGGTTCTTAGATTTAAATGCCCTGATACAATCTTGAAGTGTCAGACACACTGCTCACTCAGCATGAGGAGGCATCCACTTAACTATATCAGGGATATGACAGTACCCTTTGTTACCAAGTCTTTCTTTATCCTTATGCGTGTCCTTTTTAATCTCTTTATCAGCATCACCAAGTGCTAATACAGCTGAAATTCCTGCTTTTCTTGTCTTCAGGTCCTGAGCATCTACCAGAACAGAGACTTCATCACAGTCTACCACGGAGAGCAGGAGGGCCCAAATGAGTTTGATACAGTCCTGCTCAAAGCGCTGGTGGGAGGTACAACTCATTCCTGTTTTGAAGAGTGCTGTTTTAAGAGGCAATGGGTCTTTGTTTAAAGGGATAGTGTACCCAAACATGAAAATTCAGCCATTATCTACTCACCCATATGCTGATGGAGGCTCGGGTGAAGTTTTAGAGTCCTCACAACACTTCCCGGAGATCCAAGGGGAGAGGGGGTAGCAGCACAACTCCACCTAATGGAGGCTTACGGCGCCCCAGATTCAAACGTCCAAAAACACATCATTGAAACCACAAAATATCTCCATACTCTAAAACTTCACCTGAGCCTCCCTCGGCATATGGGTGAGTAGATAATGGCTGAATTTTCATTTTTGGGTGCACTATCCCTTTAAGTTTGTGGTGTGATTTTTGTGTTTTCCCCCCTTTTTCACCAAATATTCCATACACATACTGACAAATACAAAAAAGTAGCAACAGATGTACAGAGGATACTAAAACACAAAAGGGTGCACTAAATTGGAAAAGTGGGAAAAAGATCAGCATCTCAATGATTTGGATCATTCCCTCATTCTTGTTTTTCTTGTTGCCTTATTCTCGTCTTCTTTATGTTCTATTTTTGTGTTCTTTAGCAAGTAAGCAGCGTGTGTCAGTGGATGCCAGCCCTTACAATGAAGAGCTGAAGCTAGCGGTCACGTGGAACAGGGTTGACATTGCCAAGAGTGAACTCTTCAATGGAGACATTCAGTGGAGGGTGAGGGGAAAGAGAGAGAGATACTACCACTGTAAAGTAGATGAATAATGTGTGGTGTATTGTGTTGGTATGAAATAAGTGAGAATGTCTTGACCCTATACTGACATGTTTATCCAATCCAACAGTATGAAGACTTGGAGGACTCCATGACAGACGCCCTGGTCAACGACAATCCTCAGTTTGTGCGTCTCTTCACTGAGAACGGCCTCAACATCCTGGACTACCTGACCTACGGCAGGTTGGAGAGCCTCTACCGCTCGGTGGCCGATGGGACGGTGCTTTATCAGCTCCTTCAGCGCCGTCTGGCGGAGCGGCTGGGAACTGCAGCCCCCGTGCCAACGTCAAACCTGTCGGACTCGCCTTCCAGAGTGGCAACAGAGAACATACAGAGTGGCCCGGTGACGGAGATCAGCCTTTTTGAGGTGTGTTGTGAGGGAGACCGCCATGCCTAACGTCTACTTTTACAATCAAAGAACCAAAGAAAACAAATTTTTACACGTACACTTTTGTTTGTTTGCTCCTCCACCCCTTTTCCTCAGGTTTCAGGGGTGCTGGAACTGTTGATGGGTGACGTCTGCCAGCCATTTTACTACGATGCTTTGGGCTTAGAGCAGATGACATCCAAGAGGAGAGCTCTGAGGGTACTTTTTTTTCAATATGTAGACATCTATTAAAGCTAGTGAACTGCTGTAGGGCTTGTGAAGACAACAGAGAATGACATGATCAAATTGAACCCTCCTTCCCTGCTTCTCTTCATCCCTCAGCGTGCCAGTAAGCTGCTGCGTGGAGACTGCTTGTATCGGGAGAAGCGCTGCCTCTTCCCCTGGGCTTCTCTCTTCATCTGGGCCGTCCTCCAGAACCGCAGCGAGATGGCCACTTTCTTCTGGGAGATGGTAAAAACCTCTGAGACTTACAGAAAGCCAAAATATGTTGCTGCTTTTTGAAACCAACAACAGGCCTTTGCTGTTTCTTCCAGGCAGGGGAGTCGGTGCTGAGTGCTCTGAGTGGCTGTAAGATGCTGAGGGAAATATCCAAGCTGGAGGTCGAGACTGAGACCAAACTGTCCATGAAGGAGCTGGCCCAGAGGTTTGAGAACCTGGCACACGGTGAGAGCATGAACGCACCATCCACCAAAGTTTAATTATACAAAATAGTTGATAAATAAAAGTGCAGGAATGATGACGAGGTATTAAACTTCACAGCCTAATTGCTCTAGTGTTATTTGGCCACTCCTTGTTTTAAAGTTGTGTAATGAACCAGTGTTTCAATGGGTAGGTATTTAAATTCTTTGTCAGATAAAGCGGTGCATGCATGCCCACTGTATAATGATTATAACTGATTTTCAGAAAAAAGACCAAACTTTCTCTGCACTTATCTCTCCTCAGACGTCTTCAGCTCTTGCTATCGGAGCAATGAGAGTCGATCGTTCACCCTGCTGATCAGGAAATCTCCAGTTTGGGGTGGCACCACTTGCCTCCAGATGGGCATGGGTGCTGATGCACGACTTTTCTTCAGCCACGACGGAGTACAGGTGTGTCACTGTTTTCACACCTGTGTGACTGTCACATGACAAGACAACAATGGAGCCAAGTAACTGACTTTATGTAGGCAGTATAACCAGTTCTGTTTATGCTTGGTCTTTTTTTAAATGTTTAAAAGTATATCTCATGTTTGATTTGCCAGATTTTCTGGCTGAAGCTTATTTCTTTCTTTAACTTAAAATAATTAAAGAAGTTAAAGCCTTCCTTTTTATTGAAGTACATTCTCTGCCAATAGGTAATTTGTAAATGGAGCTTAAATAGGCTACATTCACACTGCAAGCTTTAGTGCTCAATTCAGATTTATTGCTCAGATCTGATTTTATTTTTGTCTGTTCACATTATTTTTTAAATGTGGCCAATATCAGATTCCACTGTAAAGTGGTCATGCTCATGTGCACAAGGACAATAACATGCAGCAAGCTGTCTTATGAAAGTTAACATGGAGGCCACTGAAGTCAGCATTTGTGGTTTCATTCATAAGTTGATAATAATGGGGAGGTAGAGTGAGGAGTGGTGGGATTGTGACGTGAATGGTTTCACTGAAACAGATTTCATCCCAACTTTCAGGATGTCAAGGGCTGCTTTCAGCTTCATCTGTCCATCACAGCTGTTTTCCATGTTTGTATTAACAGTTTGACTCCGGCCAGCGCAGAATTGTGATGAATGTTGATCTTTACTTTTTATTTGTTTTTGTGTATTTTGCATTGTTTCTGTTATTGTATTTTTTGTATTTTATCTTGTGAAGCACTTTGTGAGTCCTCTCTGTGAGAAGTGCTATATAAATAAATAAATTTACTTACTTACTTACTTACTTACTTACTTACTTACTAGAATGATAGACACATGAATTCCAAGGTTGCATTGCAAAAAATCAGACCTGTATGTGATTTAGGACCAAATATGAAAGTGGCCCAGATCAGATAGGATCAGATTCCATGTGATTTTGTGGTTCACATCGTTATGAAATAAGAAGATCTGAGTCGGTATGATTTGCCTGCAGTCTGATTGTAGCCTAAGTCTTTTCTTCTTTTACTCAAAATAGTTAGTGTGACTGCAAATAACAGCACTTGGGTATAATTAAGGAATAATTGTGTAAACACTACACATACAACAGAGCCGGCTTTCATAGAGAGCAAATTAATTACAGTTGGTGAAAATAGTCTAATGCTCTCTTTTCCTTCAGTCTTTGCTGTCCCAGATCTGGTGGGGGGACATGAAGAGGAACACAGAGGTGTGGAAGCTCCTGCTCACCTTCTTCTGCCCCATCCTCTGCTACACCAACCTCATCTCCTACAGGTAAAATCCACTTTAGTACTTATTTATTTTTTTTATGCTTCTGCGCCTGCAATAGCCATAGCTGGAGGCATTATGTTTTTGGGTTGTCCGTCCTTCCTTACATCTCTCCCACTTCTTGTGAAAGCGAGATCTCAAGAACGTCTTGATGGAATTTCTTCAAATTTGGCAAAAATGTCCGCTTGGACCCAACAATGAATCGGTGAGATTTTGGTGGTCAAAGGTCAAAGTCAGTGTGATCTTGCACCCGTCTCATTCTCGTAAACAGGATATCTCCAGAACACCTTAAGGGAATTTCTTTAAATTTGGCAAAAACGTCTGGACATGGATGTAAACTGTAAGAGAAACTTGCTGGTGTGCGACGGCGTACAACCTCATTAGCATTAGCTTTCAAAAGATTCAGATTTCAGGTCTGATACTTAACAACAAACTCCACCTCACAGGGAACAAGAGGACCATCACCAAGACGATGAGGGGAAGCCTAACGAGGACGGGATGGGCAGGGACAACGACAGTCTCTACGGCACCACTGTCTTCTCGTTCTCGGACATCAAGCACATGTAAAAAGTCTAAATAAATTCTTAAGTGATGTGGTTTCTGCCTTTCACTTATCATGCTAATGCAAGTGAACAGGATGCACTGGTGTCACAGTCTTGAATGAACATTACTTCAAAAATGCTTTTTCTATTGTGTTGATTGATTGAAAATATGTCATTGTTGTACCAGTGAAGCTGACGCACAAGGTCCAATCACTCCCAGAACAGCAACCATTAAAGGTGAGTCCTCTTTAAACGCAGCACCTTCTAAAAAATATGCATAAATGAATATTTTAAGCAGCCGTGACGAATGTAAGCAGCTCCTAATCCATGTCTGATAATCTTCCCTACAGGCATACCCCAGTCACGCAGGCCACCAAAGCGTCCGTTCATAGTGTCAAGATGGCGAGAGTTCTGGTTTGCACCCGTCACCTCATTTTTGGGCAACGTCCTGATGTACTTCCTCTTCCTCCTGCTGTTTGCGTACGTGCTGTTGGTGGACTTCAAGCCCCCGCCACCCGAAGGTCCGGCCATCACTGAGTATGTGCTGTACTTCTGGGTATTCACCATCGTGTGTGAGGAGATCCGGGAGGTAAGTGTGGAGACATCATGCTTGTTTCATGCATCTATGTCACATTTAACCACTGCAAAAGCAGATATGGCATAAAATCACTTCACATAAACAGCATTTATAAAGTATTTGGCTGTATTTAATGTTCTGTTTGTTTATGGGGTTTTTTTTCTTCTCAAAGACGTTCTTTCTGGGGACGATGAGTTGGCGTCAGAGAATGAGAGTGTACATTCAGGATGTGTGGAACAAGTGTGACCTCACCGCTATCTCGCTGTTCATCATCGGAGTAATCTGCAGGTACGGACAACAGCTACACACAGGGACTGTCTACAGTGTATATTACTACTGGATAATGCCAAAATCGTCCACAGTATTAGCTCAGCTGACAGCCTTTAAAGTGTAGTTATATCAAATGACCACTAGATGGCGGTGTTATCATACTGTATCTGCTTCCCTATGTGTTTTAGGATGTTCAAAGTGTCATACGGATTTGGCCGAGAGTTCCTGTGTTTGGACTACATGGTCTTCACCCTCCGTCTCATTCACATCTTTGCCATTCACAAACAGCTGGGACCAAAAATCATCATTGTCAGCAAGATGGTGAGAAACGTCACCACAAGTTCACATCATACCAGTGATTCTTAGCAGGATGTTTGTATTACAGTGATGGAAAGACAACTGTTTGCTCCTTTTCAGATGAAGGACGTCTTCTTCTTCCTGTTCTTCCTGATGGTGTGGCTCATGGCATACGGAGTAGCCAATCAGGCTTTGCTCTACGCCTACGACCCGAGCTTAGATCGCATCTTTCGCCGGGTTTTCTACAGACCGTACCTGCACATCTTTGGACAGATCCCTGTGGAGGAGATGGATGGTAAAAGGGCATCTTAAGAGAATAAAAGTTACAGTTTTAAATAATAATAATAAAAAAAAAGAATAATGTTGCAGCCTGTACTGGACATTTTTTTATATCCATTCCATTCCATCACTGTTATTGTGATGTGATAGCAGATTTATTTGATACCTAGACATGTACAATATTTAAGTTTATTTAAGTGCTGCACTTGGACAAGAAACTAGATTTTAGATTTACTGTGCTTTACCTGTACTGGGACTGATTCCTGTATATAATAGCAGAAAAAAAAGTTAAATCACAAATGATGAAATTAAAGTCAAACTAACAATGACAGTGAGAAACTAGTGAAAATAAAAATAAAATAAGAGCTGATTTATACCGTACCAAACTCACACATGTAACGGGAAAAAAATAAAATGAAAAGATGGGACATATTTTAATCTTCTCTATATTTTTGTGTCTGTTCCAGTTGGAAAGACATGGGACATGGAATGCACGCACAACATTACAATGATCGAGAACGGTGCAGAGCCGTGCAGGACGATGTATAGTAACTGGATAGTGGTCATTCTGCTGATTGTTTATCTGCTGGTCACCAATATCCTGCTCATCAACCTGCTCATTGCCATGTTTAGGTAAAGAATAAGATTAAAGTCAGTCCGTCTCTGTGACCTCACTGACACTATTGCTCACCTCAACTCTCTCTGTTGCCTTTGTGTCCACGCAGTTACACCTTCTCTGAAGTGCAGGCGAACAGCGACATCTACTGGAAGTTCCAGCGCTACAACCTGATCGTCCAGTACCACTCCCGCCCCTCCCTGGCTCCTCCTTTCATCATCCTCTCGCACATCAATCTCTTTATTAAGAGGCAGATCCGCAAGGTGCCCTCCGTCAAGATCCACCACTTTGGTCAGTAGCGAGTCGAATTATTGTAACATCAATTACATCGCCTTCAGCTCAGCTGTTGTGGTTCCTGCTTTGTTCAGGCTGACGTGAATGACAGCAGTGATAAAAAGCTTTTGCCTTCCTCTGTTAGTATTACAGTTAAAAGGGAAAGCAGCCAACAGGCTAATGACGTGGGAAACCATTCAGAAGGAGGACTTCCTGACCGCCCAGAATAAAATCCAGAAAAGCAGCGACTCAGAGAGGCTCAAACGGATGTCTGTCAAGTGAGCACATCTTCCCAAACTAACACTGCACTAGCAAAATTACCTGTTTTCTACCTCCATCATACTGAGGTGAATGTGTCCTTTTTTTAGGGTGGATGGTGTGCTCAAACACGTGACTGAAAGCAGAGACTTTGAACACAGGCTGAGGGCTTTGGAGAACGAGGTAAAACTAAAGAACACTTTTCAAACTGAGCTCATCATCTGTGGCATTTGTGTCGCTCTTGATACAGACTGCTATAAAAGAGCCTGTCTGCTCAGGCAGCCCTTCCTGTGTAAGGGTTAAATAAATGTCATCCATCTCGATATAGCAGGGCTGGGTGCATCATGACAACTACAACACTATGTTCTGATACTGATATCACAATGTGTGTTTATGTATAGGAAAATCACATACTTGTTAGGACAATACGCTTATTTGTTCTGTTGGTGAGAGTCAGATAAGAAGAAAATTACCACTCTCGTCTGTACAGTAAATGTGGAGCTACTACACAGCCCACAGAAGGTTAGAGTAGCTTAGCTTAGCTTAGCTTAGCTTAGCATAGTGAGGGTAAACAGCTAGTCTAAAAACAACAATTGACCATTTCAGCAGGGGTTATGTGCCCGACTGCTTCTTGCTTAGGACCAATAACTTCCTGGAATCTCCGCTAGTTGCCTGGCAACTGTTCAGAGCCAAGAAATGTGCATTAAACATACATTTGTCTAAATAAACAGTATGGTTTTGGATGCAGAGAGCTGTAATTATCATGTCACTTCCTGAGAGCCTTGTAACCACAGTAACCTGGTAATTTAAAAACACTTTTGAAACTATATTCAACCAGCTAAGTGAAATCTCACATTTCGTGCATACTTAGGCTTAAACTGAAGCGGTATTGACATCACAGGGTGTTGTAGTTGCTGTCTGTTGTTCTCTATCACATTGCATTAAGGCAGTGGTTCCCAGCTGGTGGGCTGTGGTCCAAAAGCAGGTTGTGTGTTCATTCTGAATGGACCGCAAGTCACTTTCAAGTTTGTAAAAAAAAAACAAAAAAAACAAACACTTTATTCAGTGTTTAAGGTTGCTTTATTGTCATTCATCATGTACATGCTGAACGAAATACAGTACTCAATCCTCAGTGGAATAATGAATAAATAAATAAAAATAAATAAATAAATGCAGTATATACCTAGAGAATCTAGCAGCCCACCCTGAAATCCAATCTTATAATTTAAGTAGTACTATAAATATGTATATTAGGCTACAAAAACCCTTAAAAAAAAGTACTGAGGCAGGAGCCTGGTAATGTTAAACACGTAATACTAAAAAAATACACTAAAAAGCTCATGCTGAGGCAGCAGCAGGTATGTCTCTGGGGTACAGTGAGTTACTACAGTGAATTTTTGGCACATAGCTTTTATTTTAAAGTGCTGTTTCCTGCTGTAGAGTGACTAGGGGAAAGGTTGTGTACAGAGACAACAAACTAGCTCGTCGACATGGCTGTCGTCTGTGTGGACCTTCAACTAATGACTAAGGAGAAATCTGGACCGTGTGGCTGGACCAGTTGGGAACCACTGCGTTAAGGGATATAGCGTTGTGCCCAGTGTTTGCATACTGTAGTATTTAACCAGAAATAGTATAGTTAATATACTATGTGATATAATGTACAACTTCAAAATACTTACTTAAATACATATGTAAAAATCTCACATACTGTTTTAACATATTAAATAGTATGGAGCTACATTAGGGTCAAAAGTTTTGTACTTGAAAAAATAAAAGTTGAAACTGAAAATTCATGTGTTGATCTTGAATTTTGAAAAATACAACAATGTATTCAAAATAAAAATAAGTGTATGAAACGTTTTTTCAGGTTAAATATAATTTTGATTCACTTTGGTAATTCTTTTGAATGAAGAATTTATTTTCACTTTTCACTTCTATATATATTTTGACATTTGAGGTCTTATTTTTTTCAGTTGCATGTTTTATCTTTTCAGATTCAGATCTTATTTTTTTACAGTTTCAAATCTTATTTTTTCACTATCAAATCTTTTTTTCACTTTTCAGTTTTTTTTTTTTTTTTTTTTTCACTTTCAAATCTGTTTTTTTTTTAGTTTCAGACTTTTGACCCTGATGTGGCGTGGGGGGCGTGGTATCAACTGAGAGCGGTGTGGAATCATGAGTGACAGTGCCTTCATGGAACGCAGGAACTAAAAAAATTCTGACTCAACACTTATATACACCATATTCATGTGACTGGCAGTGTAAAAATTGATGCCACTGACAAACTTCCATTTAGAAATCTGTTTTAGACAGTACTGAGCACCAATTGCGGTATAAGAGAGATAAATTATGCCAGATTTTGCAGTTCAACAGCCACATTTTAAGTGCTGATATGTCCGATTTCCACATAGCACTGTGAACACAGCGTAGTGTCCGTTTTGCTTGCCATGATGGCGTCCAGTCGGTTGGGTCAGTCTGCTGGAGCCCATACATCCAGCACACAGGTGAGAAATGTTAACTAGGTTTTGGGAAATCATAACAAATATTAAGGTGTCGTTTTTGTGACAACATACATTTTTTTTGTGACGTCTTTTAAGTGGCGAATTTGTCAAAGCTGGAAAGTGTGATTGTCCACAACTCCATCATCACGGCCCTGTGGATGCTTCCTCATCCAGTAAACGTGTCCCCTGGATGAAACCTTTGAGCTTGGGGAAAAGGAAACAATCCTAAAACACCTCCCTACTCACCTGACCTGGCTCCAGGTGATTTTTTTGTGGCACCAGGTGAGTGTGCTGGATGTATGGGCTCCAGCAGACTGACCCAACCGACTGGACGCCATCATGGCAAGCAAAACGGACACTACGCTGTGTTCACAGTGCTATGTGGAAATCGGACATATCAGCACTTAAAATGTGGCTGTTGAACTGCAAAATCTGGCATAATTTATCGCTCTTATACCGCAATTGGTGCTCAGTACTGTCTAAAACAGATTTCTAAATGGAAGTTTGTCAGTGGCATCAATTTTACACTGCCAGTCACATGAATATGGTGTATATAAGTGTTGAGTCAGATTTTTTTTAGTTCCTACATTCCCTGAAGGCACTGTCACTCATGATTCTACACCCCTCTCAGATGATGCCACGCCCCCCACGCCACATCAGGGTCAAAAGTCTAAAACTCAAAAAACAGATCTGAAAGTGAAAAAAAGGATTTGAAAGTGAAAACAAGATTTAAAAGTGAAAAAAATAAGATTTGAAACTGTAAAAAATAAGATCTGAATCTGAAAAGATAAAACATGCAACTGAAAAACATAAGACCTCAAATGTTAAAATATATATATAGAAGTGAAAAGTGAAAATAAATTCTTCATTCAAAAGAATTACCAAAGTGAATCAAAATTATGTTTAACCTGAAAAAAATGTTTCATACACTTATTTTTATTTTGAATACATTGTTGTATTTTTCAAAATTCAAGATCAACACATGAATTTTCAGTTTCAGATTTTATTTTTTCAAGTACAAAACTTTTGACCCTAATGTAGCTCCATAAAATAGTATGTTAGTATGGAATTACTTATTTGGTTTTAGTATGGATTAAAAACAAGGTATAATATATGTTTCTCTTCTTGTTAAACTGATTCGGAGCTGCCATATGGATGTACATATGTAGCGCACAGCTTACGCCACTAGAGGTCAGTCTCTGTTCGTGCAACACAGCTGAGCTTAGAAAGAAGCCAACTGTGAGAGGTGAAAATAACATTACAGGACAAGTAAAGAAAAATGCCTCCTAGTTAATCAATTAAATATGACTCTATGGAATCATGAAAACATCGCCACATATAACTTTATCTTAAGATGACATCTTACAACTACAAAAGCAGTCTTATTAGCCACATGCTTTTATTCAGCTACTAGTCTGCCACCGCCACCTTAGACTGAGAGCCAGGTCCCGCCCTCATGGTGTTTCTGCTACCTTTTTATCATTACTATTTCCTGTTAGCCTGTATCGTGGGCCGTCACATGTTGATAATAAGCACCTCCAACTCGGGGCTGTTTGGTCTCAGGGGGCCTAAATTTTCTGGTAAAATTATGTGAATGCAAATATTAGGGTGCTACATCAGCATGAATAGTCATACAAGTATGAAATTTGGCAAGGAGTTTCCTGACACAAAGGGGAAAGTAGAAAAATAAGATTCTGGGGCTTGCTGCCATTTTATTTCAAAATATTGCACACAACATCCCCCCAAAAAAAACAAAATATGACTATCTGTTTGACAAATTTTCATCACTTTGTGTTTATATTACTAATTTCATTTTGAGCCAAGGTTGACCTTTCTGTCTTGAAAATTATACTTGCTTTTGCCTAAATTTGTCACTATATTTGTATTTATATCTATAAATGCATGATATTCTATGGGCCGTAAGTATTTAAAACCAGCAGGACTTCTCTAACTAGTTGCATGTTATACACACAGCAATATAGGCTTGACAATGTCATATATGCTACAATAACTTCTATCACCAGCAGCTCAGCTTTAAGTTTTTTTTTGGTTTGTTTTTTTTCTCAAAAACATCATATACCGCACACCCCAGTGACATGTAAGGACGGCATGAAGGTGTGAAAAAATAGCTACAGCCCAAGCCAAGTATAATGTGTAAAGTAGTAAGATGCAGAGGTGGTGATAGCTGGATTTGGTTACCGTTACACAGAGCAAGGCAAGCTGTTCCACCCTGGTACCAGTCCTTATGCTAAGTTAAGCTAACTGGCTGCTTGTGGTAGCCTCGTATTAACAGGCACACATGAGAGTCGATCTTCTTAGCCTGCTCCCTGCCATAAAGCAAATAAGTGTTCCCAATTGACAAACTTTTAAGGAAATGCATGATATTAATTGGCCATTTTCAGCTCCAAAAACCCTTCTGCTTGTAGCATTAAGACAAAATCCCACAACATGATTGCACTGATGTTCAAAGCTTGGGAAGTGTCAACACAAGGCCCCAGCCCGCTGCATGGTGATATTGTTACTGTATTTTAATATGCAGCTTTCTGCTCTTTTGATCCTCCTCCTCAGATGGAGTACTGCTCAAGTGCTCTCAGCTGGATCGTGGATACTTTGGCTCAAGGCAGCACATTCAAACCCCCTCGGCCTCCACCTACGCTTAAAGGTACAAAGTCAGATCATGCAAGTTTCTTTCCAGGAACAAGTGAAACTACATGCTCCAAGTCATGGGTTTATTTTCACCAAGCTTGCGTGACTAGTTTTCTCTTTATTTTTAGTGCCGTTAGCCTCAAGTCATTTATACTTAACATGCTTTGTAACACTTTCTTCCTCTTCACACAGATTCGTTCCCGTCCTCTTCCAATTCCACCTGATTCAGCCTCTGTGGTGCCTTTACTTGCTCAGGGTCGGTATACCTCGGCTGCTCCCCCAGTCGTACTGTTTGCCAGCCACGTTCATCACTGGACTCAGTTACGGAATAGTTTTAAATGTTCTCAACTACAAAAGCATGTAGCAGAGATCACTACTTGTTACAGTATTGATTACATGCCAAAGCTGATATTTTACAGGTGCAATCAATCTTATAAGAATGCCAAAGTCAAGTGTATATATTTATGATATGGCATGATATATTTTATGTTTTGTTTTCCAGTGCTATCATGTCTTTACTGCTGTTATTTTTAAGGTTTTTATAGAGGTTTTTACTGCGATACATGATATAGTTTACAGGGGTTACATTGAATGTCACTCATATGCATGTGCATATTGTGATACTGTTGTGTTCAGTTACTTTCTGGCAACCTTAAATGTTGAATCATGTATTTGTGTTGCTACATTACTTTATTCTGTTCAATAAATTGTATATACGGTGTAATGAATGAGTTATTTCTGTTACTGTTGTGTAGGGAAATTTGCTTATGCATTTTTGCTTATCCTGTTGGGGGTCGTGGGGGGGCTGGAGCCTATCCCAGCTGACATTGGGTGAGAGGCAGGGTACACCCTGGACAGGTTGGCAGACTATCACAGGGCTGACACATAGAAACAGACAACCATTCACACTCACGGCCTATTTAGAGTCACCAATTAACCTGCATGTCTTTGTACTGTGAGAGGAAGCCGGAGTACCTGGAGAAAATGCTGACATGGGGAGAACATGCAAACTCCGCACACAAGGGCTCCCTTTTGCTGTGAGGTGACAGTGCTAACCAGTACACCACTGTGACCATGGGTGCAGATCTGATGACAAGTTTGGGGGGGACACAATCAGTTGTGATTTTTTTTAATTGCACGCGTGCAAATCATGCCCACAGAGCGCTTGAGATTGCCAGCATATTTCACGATTTCATAGAGGCTCATCACCATCACCAAGTCATTCAAAAAGCACTACAAAGAGAATCATATGCTTACCTTTACTGTTTATTTCTCTTAAACAGCCAGTAGTACATGGAACCAGCCATCACCCTCCTTTTCACTGCTTCGCTGTTAGTTAATGCTACTTCTAGTTTCAGGGTCTCAGACATGTTATGTCCACTCACGTTTTCATCTCTCGCCTCTCACGGATTCCCATTTCTCCTCATCATCTTCCCTTTCTCCCAGTATATAGGACTACTGTATACATTTGTTCAATTTCAATCATTTAAGCTATTTAGAATTGGGGGGGGGGGTGACATGTCCCCCCCCCCCAGGATCTGCACCCATGACTGTGAAGCCTGCCAAAGAACGGTATTATTTTTTTTCTAAATACAGCGATTTTGATAAAACAGAACAGTTTTTAAATTAATCTGTCACAGGAGAGATGGAGTGCTTTTTTGTATGATCCAGAGATACATTCTACCTAAAAGTCATGTGACTCTGAAAATACTGCTTGCATTTGCTCAAATTGTGCAACAACATTAGAGAGCGCCAAAGTTATCACCCTAAGACCTTGTCAGTCCCCAGAGGGTGAATGACGCACACCTAGGTGTAATCACTCACCTGATTCATGTGTGATCACTGAATGTTAGGAATGGCTCTTGCCTTGCCTCTGTAGGACACATTTCGGAAGGAGCCTTGACTTTGAGAAGCACTAACAGAGAATCAATAAGTTGCACACAGCTCTACAGTGAAATGAGATTTTGCCTCTTTTAAACAGTCAAATTTGCAGTTAAGTTGCACTTGATTGGACAAAATTGCAAGGTCACGCAGAATTCACAGGGCTGAATTTGCATTGAAATCCTAGAGTGACTGAATAATCAGTGTCAGTTACAGGTTAGTTAGTTACAGGTGCTGGTATTCGTCATGTATCCCCCTGTTCCCAGTCGGCATGCTAAGCTAAGCTAAGCTAACTAGCTGCTGGCTCCAGCCACGTATTCACTACACAAATATTAGAGTGGTATAGATCGTCTCATCTAACTCTTGGCAAGAAAGCAAATATGTGTCCTTCCCAAAACGCTGAACGAATCCTTTAATGATGAATAATCATGATTAATGTCTGGCCCTTCTTGTTTAGCTTATGAAACACTGCAGGCAAGAAAGAAATGAAACCTGGTGCTTTCGTGTCAGGAGTAACACACCCTATGTCTGTGAAAATCAAGTTGGTACAATGACAACTATTTAAATGCAAACTACATGTGGCACTAAATCATGCAAATTTAACAAGAGAATCACTGAAGCAAAGTGTGACTAGAACATAGGAGTGAGATAGTTGGGTGTACTGTAAAGAGAAGAGGATATGGATAGTTTAAAAGGTGCACCATGGTGCTGAGTTTCAGTTTGCCAGAGCTCTATTGAAGGTCACATAGTGGAGCAAGGCTATTGAAGGAGCCTTTACTGTAAATAGCCGGCTGGGCCACCTGTCAATCGCAGCAGCGGCTCACACCGAGAGAGGCGGTGTCATCACTTTTCTGCCTGGCTTGTCCTCTCGCTGCATGACGGCTGCATGTGCAAATATGTTCCCGTGTAAGTGAGCATGTGTGCAGTTTCTGAGTTTGATTTAAACTTGCCTCATTTCACACAACCTGCAACACCACTGTGTCAAACTCCCCCTCCTGTGTCTCTCACTGGTCTTCCTAATGAAATCCCTGTGATAAAAACATTCTGTGCCTCACATGTGAAGCATTTCTTTGCCGTGTCAGTTGCTGCACATGTGCACGTCGCCATCATCTCCATTTCCGTCTATTTACATCCATTCCATACATCATCCTGACATGTTCTCCTCTGCTTTGAGACTGGCAAGCAGATACTACCAGCACTGTTGAGACTGTGTCTGGGAGGTGTTGGTTTAACCTCATGGTTACTTTATAAGCCACTGTTAAAGGGTGCATTATTACTAATACTACTGTTTGTAATCATTTCTATTATTTTTTACCTCCAATGACCCCTTATTAAAATGTTCAGTAGAGTTGAGTGCACATGCAGTCCTGAGTTTCAGCCAGGTTTCATAATAGATTCAATTAAAGAGGAGAATGTATTGGTGCGCCTAATTACAACTCCAACGACTTTATTGGGCAGAGTAAACCGCAAAAGTCAGAGGTGTGGGAGCTGGTGAATACCATCGGTTCTTCCTCATGTGTCTCATTTAAAACTTCTCAAAGGTGCACTAATTGAGAAAAATCCTGTACCACCTACTTTGGTATGGAATAAGTTTGGAAATATTTAAAATGAAAAAACTGGGAAACAAAATCTTTAAAGTCTGGAATAAATGGATTGAATTTATAACCTCATTCTGAGCAGACTTTGTACAACTCCATTAATGTTTCATCTTCCTTTCCCCTCCTTGATAGGAATGGTAGAAATATACTCCCTTAGTACTAATGTAATGCTTTTTTTTAAGTAGGGGGAAAAAAATACAACTTTTCTGTCATTTATTTTAATTCTGCATTATTTTATTTTATTTCATATTATTTTATTAAAGTATTATATGCAGGCAAATATTATTGTAAGCATCCTTTCTGTATCTTTTTGTTTTATAAGACCAATATTTTTATTTTGTTTGTTTATTTATTTTTTAAATGATGCAGGTGCGATTCGGGAAAAAGACTGTTGATTCATTCGAAGGTCATCAAATAAAGCTGCTTTATGAGTGAACGGTCAACCAAACAAATCAGTATTTGACGACCAATCAGCTGTCTTTCTCCAGAATTGCATACTGCACCTTTAACTGTAAAATCATGTATTTTAATTTAATTTATTTAGTCTTTATTGGATCATTTCTTTTCTGGGGGATTCACAGGCCTGTTGAATTCACATGCAAGTAGGTAAAAAAAACAACATAATTAATAAATGAATAAATAAAACAAAAATAATGACAAGAGTAATAAATAATAGACATCATTGTATTATGTACCCACACCTTTATATAAAGTGTAGCACTATGTCAATTAAAACTTGCTCTGAAATTATTTAAAGTCAGTAATTAAATGTCTCCCTATGTTTTTTGACCTCCCCTCTCCCCTCCCTCCTGCAGTCTAACACCCCCCTCCTGTCTGCCCTAAGCACACACCCACCTCTCTAATACACTGGGTTAAGGGCATCAGGAGCATTCTTCCCGGACATGTGCCCCTGTCACTCATACACAGACAGGCACACAACCACACCACACACCCAGTTGTGTTTCCACTGTGTCCTCTGTGTTCCCAGCACAAGGCTGGCACTCTGCTCTGTTGGTCTTGTGAACGCAGCCCTCCTCCGCCCATCTGTCTCTGCAGCTTGGAGCAAAGACTTGAACAATATCACTGAATCACCTGCAGCTCTGTGACGTTTTCTGTGGATTTAATTTTTTTCAAGTGTTAAAAACCCACTGATTGTTTTTGTTTTTGGTGGAAGAAACAGAGCAGAGACAATCATCCAGTGTGGATTTGTAGTTTAGAAGAGGTCCTCTGTGTGGCTGTGTAAGTCTTCCAAAATGGCGCCCGTGAAAGGCTGGATGGTGGGGCTCCTGCTGGTCCTCCTGTGCCCGTCCCAGGTCCCGCTCCCTGGACTGGTGAGTGCCCAGGATGTGGCTGAAGCAGAGGAAGGCCTCCATGCCAGAGATGTTGAAGAGGTTGTGGCTGAGGAGGGTGAAACCGCTGAGGGTGATGATGACGCAGGTGAGGAAGTAGAACAGGTAGAAGAGGATGATGAAGGAGAAGCTGATGAACAAGAGGAAGAGGAGGGTGAGGAGAAGGAGGAAGAAGAGGATGCTGAGGAGGAAGAAGAGGATGCTGAGGAGGAGGAGGCTGCCGATGAGGAAGAGGAGGATGATGATGAGGGAGAGGAAGATGATGATGATGAGGAGAAGGAGGAAGCGGAGGCTGATGAGGCAGCAGCTGAGGATGATGATGATGATGATGAGGAGGAGGAGGAGGAGGAGGAGGAAGAGGCTGCTGAGGAGGAAGACGAGGAGGAGGAGGCTGCTGAGGAGGAGGAGGCTGCCGATGAGGAAGAGGATGATGATGAGGAGGAGGAGGAAGAGGAGGCTGGTGAGGCAGCAGCTGAGGATGATGACGATGAGGAGGAGGAGGAGGAGGAGGGAGAGGCTGCAGATGAGGAAGAGGACGATGATGATGATGATGAGGAGGAGGAGGAGGAGGGGGAGGCTGCAGATGAGGAAGAGGATGATGATGATGATGAGGAGGATGAGGCAGCAGAAGAGGAGGAAGAGGAGGCTTCTGAGGAGGATGACGAGGCAGCTGAAGGAGAGGAGGTAGCTGAGGAGGAGGAGGACGGTGATGATGAAGAGGAGAATGATGATGAGGATGGCGATGACTCTGAGGAAGAGGATGCAGCTGAGGCAGAGGAGGATGACGGTATACCCACTTTTTTATATGTGATTTTTCTATATATATATGAGTCATTGAAACACCAAACAAAACAGTTACTGAATATAAAGTATAACGGATGTGACTATTTCCTGGGCCCTCTGTGTATGTTCTGACTCCACAGTAGCCTCCTGACATTGTCGGGTTTGTTGCAGCCGCTGTGGAAACCCTGTCACACATATCAGTCCTAAAATAGAGCGGCTTATCTGTGAGGTTGCAGGCACCCAGCAGTATCTAAACCATTCGTGCCTTTTGTTGAACCAATGTCGCTATTTTGAGACCCGGAACAGGTACTGTCGTGAAGGGAAGGTTCACATGAAGTAGAAACTGTGACGATATAAAAGTCAAAAGTGTTATTTTTTTGCAGTCTTGACACAAATTCTTTTAGATATATCATTTAAAAGATTGTGACCAAGTTCCACACCAAGCAGGACGTTTTACAGTGTAACAAGAGAGTCTACAGCCATGCTAGCGGCTCTGTGAGGCTGTAGCCAACAGCTAAATGCTCGGTAGCAGCATGCCCAGTCCCTTTACTAGCCCAGTGTGGCTACATATTTTGACAAATGAAGGCCTGTCTCAATTAGAGGCCTGGTCTGGTTGCCAAGAAGTTTTTCGGATGTATAACACCAGGCTGTTGGCTACCTCAAATTGACCTTTCCATAAGCCCCGCCCCTTTACGATGGCCCAGCAAGCTGTCGCAGTAAGCATGGAGTCCACACTGTAACTGTAACTGCACACCCTGAAGAAATATTATCATATTTTTGGAAAAATGAAAGAGTGATTCCAGAGAGAAGCAGACAGAGGGGTCTACAGTCTGTGTTTGAAGGATATATCCAGGATGTCAAAATGACTCAGCAGCAACAACAGGTTAAAAAGACAAAGATAGTTAGAAGCTAAAGCCGAACTATAGGCTACAGATCACAGTGTCAAAGTGAACCACCACATCACTGCTGATCGCCACAGAAGACAATGAATATAAAGGGAAACTCTGCTGATATTGAACCAGCTGTGTGGCATCGCAGTGTGTGCAGATAAACGGTATCTGGCTTTGCAAACTCCTGGACCTCAGCCGCTGGACGAATAGGGATCTCCAGGGGAAGTCAAACAACGTTCATCTGTGCACACTGCAATGACACACAGCTGGCTGAATATGAGCAAAGTTTCCCTGCTTCCCTTCACTGGTTCCTGTACAGCAGGGTCGGTCTTTCTTCACTGTTATAATCATTAAAAAGCAAAAGCAGCATGTGTATACATTCAGTAGGCTATATCTTCAGTAGCTAGCTAGCTAACCCTACACTTTTCAGGGTTTGATTTTGGTTTTGGAACAGGGAAGAAACGTATATCTTTTTATAACCTCTCCAGGTAACGAGTATCATTAATACACGACATGCCCCAGGCACAACATTTAGCTCCAAATCCACAACACCAGCCTGAAAATGAAGGAAATCTGAAACGACTGCATTAGAGTCAATGGAGCACAGCTGTGTTGTTGTCAGACCCTGGTCTTATTATTGCCAATGCTACATTATTATTGGCCAGTCTGTGGGATATTTTGGCTTTATTTTTGTAGAGTGGAAATGCGTTGTCCTTCTTTACATACAGTCATATTCAGTGTGTTGGTTTTGTGTGTTTGCATGCTATTATTTGCTAATTAGCGCTAAATGCAAAGTTTAGCTGAGGCTGTCTCTAGTTTTGCTGGGATGTAGTCATAAACCAAAGTGATCAAGGTGATTAAGATTCATCCTCTGAGGACCATGAATGTCTAAATAAACCATCCCATAGTGGTTGTGATATTTCAGTCTTGACCAAAGTGGTGGACAAAATATTCAATGGTGGCATTGTTTCTAAATACGCAGTGATACTGATATATCTGCATCAAACTGATATTGGCAGGCTGATGTATCGGTCCAGCTCTAGAAGCCTCACTTGTTGTTAACTCTGTTAACTTTATAGATGAGCTTGAAGATGAGGACACAGCAAATGAGACAACTGAAGAGGAGCCTGCTGACGACATCCTGGAATACCGCTCTGGCTCTTTGTGTAGTGTGTGCTCCATCTGTGAGGTAAAAATTACGAGGACAAGACTCTTGCTGTAATGTGCTTTTCACAAATGGAGACTGATGATAACTGTACCTTGTGCTGACAAACTGTACCTTCCTCTCTTTCAGCACTGCTCTAAAAACTGCGACCAATGCCCCTGTGAAGACGGAGATGAGTCGGAACACTGTGAGATCTGCCAAGTGAGCATCTGTCCAAAAAACTGTCAATAATTTCAACATTTCAGTGAGTCTCCTCATTTTAACCCTTTTCAAAAAATGTCTTCCAGGAATGCTCATCCTGCTACATCTGCCCAATACTGTGTGACACAATTTGCACACCAGGTAAATGTTGGTGGCAATTAAGTATATTGTGCATGCACTGTTGTGTTGTTTTTCCTTTGTTTGTCAACTTTTGGTTAAATTTTGTATGCATTGCTTTTTTCCAGGTGGCCTTGTTGATGAGCTCAGTGGCTCTCTCTTTCAGTAAGACCTCTCACAACACTTCGATATTTACTTGTTTTCTTCTACAGTATTATTATTAAATTATACCACAGAAGGTAAGGATATATTGGGAAATGCTCTATAGGTTAGTGTTGGGTTTGCTCATGCCCTGACCTTTGTTTTGCAGGACTGTGGCTTCTTTTCTCTGAGCAACCCGGAGACTGCGCCCTTTAACACCACCCTGTGGTAGCATGAGGTACTGCGCCCAGGATTGGAGCTGTCCGGCTGTTCATACCTCTCCAGCAACATGAGGATTCCCACAAGAGCTTGTCATGAGTCTGACAGCTGACTGAAAAACAAAAACACATTTAGGTTTTAGCACATGTTTAGGTATGATTTTAATTTGTAATGAGAGCTGAAAAACAATTATAGAGTCTTTTATTTATTGAAAACAGCCTAGCTGAGGCTATTACATAATTTCTAAGGACTGTTTTTTTTTTGCAGGATCATTTTTGTAAAACAGTTTTTGTTGAGCTATAATTTTAGTAGGTCTATCTTGTTGGAGGGAATTTGTAGAAATGCACTGGAAAATCTGCTGCTCGTGCAAGAGCGTAACTTTGGTCTGAGAAGTGTTTGGTGGGAAGGCTGTAGGGTTCCTCTCCTTGGAAAAAATCAGCGATTTGCATCTCATTTTCGACATTTCTACATATATTTTAGGACTTCAAAATCTGGGAAATAATTATGTTGGTGTTATCATGCTAAAATCTGCCAGAATAGTGCTAAGTATATATGGCATTTTTTGAGTATATCAGAGCCAAATCAGAAGCCTAATACACACTTTCAGTCAGAATCTGACAGCTGGCCAAACAGTAGCATATTAAGCAAGATTTATGTTGTTAGAAAATAACGTGTTTTTTTTGGGATGGTATCACTTATTCTTTTTTTACAGCAAAATTTCACACATGTCAATTCAAAAACAGCTTCTACAATGCTCCCACTTCTCATCTGGTAATACATTTCTCCTTATCTGTAAAATTTGGTTCAATGTAGGCGGCATGTACATCACATGCACAGGTTATACCTGTCTCAAATTTGCTTCTAATTAGCTGTTTTTGCTATGTTTACTTTTAGTTTTCTATGACTTTGAAGGTATTTCTACGATTACTTTTGTGCATACGCTCGTGACGACGGCTCAGTTCTAAAACTGCAGTTGATGTCAAATAAAAAAAAATGTCAGTAACTTAAAATACAGCATATTTAACTCACAAATGTGCCTGTAAAATTAGGTATTTTGCTTTAGCCTTTGTGATATACATGTTGTAAATTCTAAATGGTGAATGATAATGAATTGGGTTTAGACAAAAGTTGTTCGGTGACTTTTAGTTTAGAGTATGAATACATTTTAGTGTAGAAAGAGCATAACAAGTGCAGTAAGCTACATGTATTGCTGTTTCTGGAATAAATAACATCTGTTCACCCTTTCACTGATTTTTCTTTTATTTTAGATTTAGATGTAAAATTTTGGGCTTTTTTGCTTCCATAACATGACTTCTTTCAGACTAGTGGATAAAAAAACGTCAAAAACACACACATTACTGTGTTCACTCTCGGTCAAATTTCTGTTCTGGAAAAAGCACCAAAAGCACATAGTTTATTAGATGATGCCTCATTTGCAACAGACTTGCAACACACACAAAAAAAACTGCTATACGTGATCAATTGTGGAAGTTTCATTGTGATATGTATTAGTTAAAAATTTTACCCTTTTTTTGGGCCTTAAAATGTATGGAATTTACTATATATATTTACAGGTGGCATGGTGGTGCAGTGGTTAGCATTGACACCTCAAAGCAAGAAGGTTCCTGGTTCAACCCCAGGGTGGGGAAGATTACATGTTCTCCCTGTGTCAGCATGGGTTTTCTCTGGGTACTCCAGCTTCCTCCCACAGTCCAAAGACATGCAGGTTAATTGGTGACTCTAAATTGGCCGTAGGTGTGAATGTGTGTCTGTCTCTATATGTTAGCATTGCAATAATCTGTCCAGGTGTGCCCCACCTCACACAAACCAAATTCTTTCCTATCTATATTCTGAAGGTTTTTACAGAGGGTTTTATTCAAATATTATTCAGAGCCTGATTTATATAACATTTATTTTCTAAAAACATGGTGAAAATGTTTGTTTTTTAATAGCAATGGGCAACATTTCTTGATTCATGGAGTAATAAAAACAGATATCCAAAAATACATCTGTCTTTGACTCAAAGTAAAACAAGGATGGTGAACCTGGCTTCATCAAAAGTTCAGATTTTTGTTCTGAAAATGTTTGCAAATCAGTGCATGATTATTGTGTCATTTGTTTATGTTAGAAAATATCCACACACAAGTGCCACTTGACACAAGATTTGTGACCACCACACCTTGATGGAAAGTGATGTCAAATCTCCAGCCAATCACATGCTGATTAATAAACGAGCTCCAGCTGCAGAGCACATGAAGCAAAGTGTGTGTGAGTGAACTCTCTGTGGCTCACTGGTACAGCGTGTCCTGCTGGGAGGTTTTCTGGTGAGTTTCTGTCCTGTGTCAAGATAAAACAAACTTGTTCTTCAGTGACTTGGTAAAAAAAAAGGAGGAAAAATCAATTGAGCGTATCGTGAATCAACACAGACAGAGCCAGAGCTCTGTGCTGCGGAAGTTTTGACCTTTTGAGAGCAAAACATTGATACAGCCTTCTGACTTTTAGGTGTATTCCTTTTTGTTTCAAGGCCCAGCTGCCTCTCATTGGTAACCTTCTGAACTTTTGGAATATTGAAAATAAGACACACCCACAAAAAGGCTAAATACCAGGTCATCTTACTTTCGGTGTTATGGTTCATACTGATCTTGTCATCTACATATCTCTTGTGAATCCACCCATACACTTTGGATTCTTCTTTAACCACTGTCATTCCCTTGTTCCAAGTCACACTCCTTAAAACTCCCTGTACAGCCTGTCTTAGTTGTTTTGGAAAAGGTTTGGAGATGTCTGATAAGTATAAACAGAAAAAAAGGCCGGCAGTCATGAGGTGTGGTGATGAGCGTGACAACGTGGTGAAGGGCAGGAAACTTGTTGTGTAGGTTCATTGGGGGCAGTTGTGTGTGTGTGTGTGTGTGTGTTTGTGTGTGCATAAACACACGGGCAATTACCATAAACACTGCCAAGTAAAAAAAAAAAAGATTTGACCCTGTCCAGGAAAAGTGATTGTCCTAAGTGTCAATGTTTTCATGGTAAACCTGCATCTGTCAGAAGATATAGTCAATAGAGACTTGAAGTCCTTCCCCTTCTGGAGATCACCATTGGACAATATTACGAAAAAAATGAATTTGCGGTTTGAACTGTCCCATATCTTACATGATTTTCAATTTATTAGATAACTTTGCAAGTCAAGAAAGTTGCAGTTTGTTATAGATTTGTCGTAGTACCATAGAATTTTGTGTAAAACCACTCAGTGAACAACATTTTGATCTCTTTGTCAACAATACCAACGAAGCTAACATTACCATGGGCCATGGCACCTTTCACTTTCTCTTACCTGATGTGATACATCAGCGATGCTTGTCTTCTTCAGCTGGGAGATGAAAGAACGAGCAAGACCCGTTGCTCTTGTCAGCACATCCTGGTGCAAAACACACAGGCATTATAGTTTCAGTGAGACAAAAAGTAATGATGTCACTAATGCAACTCTTGGGTGTTTCCACAGTCTAATCGCTCATACTTAAACAGTTTTAGGGCAAACTGACACTTTTTTTGTCTTGCAAAGTTAGCTTTTAAGCTGACAAATGTGTAATCTATGGCACAATTGAAAAAGCGGCGTGATCTCATCCCTACTGGTCATGGTTTGACGTTTGCACAAAAGCCTCTGGCAGGCAGCTTTGTATCTTGATGCAAAAGGGGTCGGCGGAAAGTCTGACTAAGAGGGGGTCGGCAGTTAGGTTAAAGCAACAAAAGTACTTGTTTGGGGTCAGAAAAACACTAACAAGTGATTAACGACTCACGTGATTACTGGCTGTTGTGACAAAATAACTCAACATTGACTCTTGGTTTCACACGGGAAACAAACAACTGTCTCGTGGGTCAAAGTTCTGTGTCTCTTTGACCCATCCACCAAAGCAGGCTTTTGTGCTCTTTATACTACGACACCACAACAACGATAAAACTACAACATTAAGATATAACAAGATTCCATAAAGTTAGATCACATGTTTGACTTCATGTTTTCACCATTGACTACCAAATGTGAGTTTTTTGGCCCTACCCTGCTTACTCTGGCATTCTTATCTCTACCCTCACAAATCTCACCCCTCATACCTAAACCTAACCGACCCAGCCAACAAAGGCAACAAGTATGAGCAAATCGCATTACATTCTATGTGGACATAATAAGTTCCTATGGTGGTTTGTCAGGACTGTAATAGGATGCAAGACCACACAATTATCCAGATAAAGTGTACATTAATTGTCTCAGCCCTTCAAAGGATTTCACAAATTGGGCCGCTGAAATTTAATCACATCGCTAATGATACAAATGGCACCAAGCCAGCACACAGAAGGTATCTCGCATTACTGTGGTTGATAGTCAACGTTCCTTCGATGGCTTGTGACACTTGAAGCCTGGCATAATCCAGCGTGCTTTTTAGCTTCTACAGTGTTAGTTTGCACCCGTGAATTACAAGCTTAGTCTAGCTGTATCCTGTGTTTATAAGAAATGCAATGCAGATTGCTGTGCCATGTATTTATCTGGATCACACTTCTGTTCTATTGTTGCTGACAATCACAATAAAGGAAGTGTTGATTACTTCTTCCTTTTAACAAGGTTCAAACTGAAGACTTTAAGCGTATCCCTTGGACGCCAGCAATAATAATCATGTTTATCTTGTCGCCTCACAGCAAGAGGGTTCCTAGTTCGGACCTGGGGTGTGGCAGCCCCTCTGTGCAGAGTCTGCATGTTCTCCCCATGTCAGCGTGGGTTTTCTTCGAGTACTCCGGCTTCCTCCCACAGTCAAAAGACAT